TTAGGTGAGTACAATTAGGTGAGTACACACATACATACACACACACACACACACACACACACACACACACACACACACACACACACACACACACACACACACACACACACACACACACATTTAAAGAAAACTACGGACTGGGGGAGACTAAAACAATGTCAAATTCTCTCTCTCTAAGATAATCATAATCTATTAACACTCGGCGAAAAGTCCTCTTGGGTGATTCTCACGGCCAACGACACCATCACTAACGGCTTCTATTGCGCAAATGGGTTGTTAGAATGGCTTACTTTCAGGCTTAGTTGCTAATAACTTATTTTCTCAAGTTGAGATGTTTCCAGCATTAGTCACAAACCTATTTAATATATTTAGATTTTTTTTTAGATCATTTAAGTAACTAACAATACAATTTGTTGAGGCGAACTAGTCACTTGAGTCTGGTTAATGTTGTCAATTCCTCATCTCTCTCTCGTTAACCGAAGGAAGTTAACTTCGTTAACTTTCTCTCGCTATCTTATCTACTCCTCCTCCCCTCCTTCTCGCGTCTCACGCCTACTCAATCACTTCCCCCCCTGGCCTGGTCGACGACCGGGCCGCGGGGACGCTAAGCCCCGGAAGCACCTCAAGGTAACCCCTCACACTAGAGACGTTCCTTCTCACTCCTCCTCGACTCTACTCGCGCCTCAGCATGTGTTGACACTCCGCAGACGGCCCAAGGCCATGTATCACCGACTTCAGCTCGTATCTTTGTCCAAGGAATCGCCTCGTGTGTCGCAGCCAGTGAAGGGCGCCTTGTTAGCCCGCCCCAGGACAACACCTGGGTGATTCAGGCCGTTCGTTTCTGTGACAAAGGGGCGCGTATTTTACGGTAATGCCAGGGTACTTGTGACCTTTTTGTCGCCTTGAGAGCTTAAAGCCACCAGACTGATATATATATTTACTCTCATATATTGGCAACGCTGCCTGCTGATGGATATCTATGTATATCTATGAAAGATAATGTTTGTGTCTGTCTGTCTGCATCTATCTGTCTGTCTGTCCGTTTGTCTTTGCAAGGTTGAAGGCTAGACGCTGAGGCTAGCCTCATTCAGATACTAAGAGGGATTAGATAACGTGGACAAGAATACCCTCTTCAGACTGAAGGAAAACGGGATAAGAGGACACAGGTGGCAGCCCACGTGAAAGTACTCGTGCCCTGTACGGCTGGTCAACA